CGACGCTGACGCAGCTACTCGTTACGGTGATCGATATCAACGATCACCGGCCGGAATTCACCGAGAGCACGTATCACGTCGACATTTCTGAGAATGTCGAGGAGGGCGAGAAGATCCTGCAGCTACACGCGACCGACGAGGACGAGGACAAGAAGGTCTTCTATAGCCTGCACGCGGCGCAGAGCCAGGCTTCGCTTGAGATCTTTCACGTGGACTCGGTGCTGGGTTCGATTACGCTAAAGAAACCGCTCGATCGGGAGACCATCGAGGAGCACGTGCTGACGGTGATGGTCAAGGATCAGGGCACACCGGCCAAGCGCAATTACGCTCGGGTAATCGTCACCGTGCACGATCACAATGATCATCAGCCCGAGTTCATCAGCGAGATTATTCAAGGCAAGGTGTACGAGACGTCGCCGATCGGCACGGCGGTGGTGCAGATGTGTGCGATCGATCGTGATCGTGGCGAGAACGCGAGGATTACCTACTCGATCACGTCCGGCAATGTCGGCAACGTGTTCGCTATCGATCCGGATCTCGGTTTCATCCGCGTCGCTCGCGAGCTTGACCTCGGCGTCTCGTCGGAATACATACTTCTCGTGAAAGCGACCGATCACGGCTCTCCCGCGTTAACCAACTCGGTACCGGTGCATGTCATGGTGACGATGGCCGACAACGCGCCGCCGCGATTCACCCAGAAGGAACTGTCCGCGGAGATATACGAGAACCAGCAGCTGGGCACATACGTGAAGCACGTGGAAGCGAGGAGCACGTCGTCGCTGCAGTTCGAGATTGTGCGCGGCAATCGCGACGACACGTTCTTCGTGAATCCGAGCACTGGGGTGATCGTCATCAAGAATCAACTGGACTATGAGAAGACCAAGTTCTACAATCTGACAGTATCGGCGACGAACATGGCTGGCGCGTCGGCCACCTGCAATGTCATCGTTCACGTACTCGATAGGAACGATAACGCGCCGCGATTCCTGCAGGCGCTCTACAGCGGCGAGATCAGCGAAGGCGCCAGCATCGGTTCTCTCGTGCTGACCAACACCAGCGCGCCGCTAGTCATCAAGGCTGAAGACGCGGATTCCGAGTTGAACGCGTTACTTAATTACGACATCGTCGAGGATCTACCGCGAAAATACTTCCACATAGATTCCAGCACCGGTGCCATTCGCACAGTCATGTTGCTCGATCACGAAACCATACCAATGTTTTCGTTCCACGTAAAGGTTTCGGATCTCGGCAAGCCGAAGCTCTCATCCGAGACCACCGCCAAAGTGATAATAACCGTGACGGATGTTAACGATTGCCCGCCCAAATTCTCCAAAACTGATTACAATGTCACGCTTTTGATGCCGACGTACAAGAATGTCGCTGTCATTCGAGTGAACGCCATGGATCCCGATAGCTCCGAGGGAACCGCGTTGAGGTGTGTAATGCAAAAATATTAATGCGTTTTTTAACTTTAAAATTCTTGTTTTAATATTGTCGCGATATAATATTAGTATCTGTGGTTAATATCTGTGGCAATTTTTACAGATCAGCATTTTATATTTTTATATTGTTACAGATACGACATTATTGACGGGAATAAGGCTCACACATTCGATATAGATGCTCAAAGCGGCATCATTACAGTCCATAATCCGGAACGTATGAAGAGAAACTATCTCCTTCACGTGCGAGTGTCAGACGGCAAGTACTCGAGCGTGGCGCAGGTGAACGTGATAGTGGAGAAGTCGGAGAATTCCGGTTTGATCTTCCAGAAGAGCATCTACGAAGGTGCCATCCTGGAGAATTCCACGAAAATTACGATCGTGGTGGTAGTAAATGTCCTCGGTAGCTCGTTGAACGAGCACATTGTCTTCAGCATTCTTAATCCCACCGACATGTTTGTAATCGGGCCGACTTCCGGCGCGATCAGAACCACTGGCGTACGATTCGATCGAGAGGCGTGCGATCATTATGAATTAATAGTTGAGGCAAAGAGTCACCCACCGGACCAGGAAAAGCCGAGAGTTGCTCACGTTATAGTGAATGTCACCATACTCGATATGAACGATAATTGCCCTATGTTTGTTAATCTACCTTACTACGCTGTCGTATCTGTCGAAGCTCAAAAAGGCGAAGTCATTACAAAGGTAGAGCAATTTCTCTTTAATACATGGCTGATAAATTTAATATATGATTTGAATTTTGCTCTTTTCAATTTGTTTTCCACTTCGCTTCTCTAAACATCTTGCTCTTGTCATTCAGGTTCACGCGGTAGACATGGATAGCGGCGATAACGGCGAAGTGAGATACGAATTGAAGAAAGGTCACGGGGAGCTGTTTAAGGTGTGCCGAAAGACGGGCGAAATATCGTTGAAGCAAAATCTCGAAGGTCACAATCGCGAGTATCAGCTTACAATCGCCGCGTATGACGGCGGTAAGTTTGTTAAAATACAAAGTCAATAACTCGCGCTTTCCACTTGATCCCGTTTCAAATGAGCTTCTAAATATGATTGCAGGAATAACGCCGTGCTCCATTGAAGTGCCAGTCAACGTGAAGGTGATAGATCGCTCGATGCCGGTATTTGACAAGCAATTCTACACGGATAGCGTGCCCGAGAGTATAGAAGTACATTCACCCCTGGCGTTATCCATTCAAGCTGAGTCACCTTTGAATCGCAAACTCATATACAGCATTACTAAGGGCAATGATTTTGAGGAGTTTGCCCTGGATTTCAATACGGGTAAGTAAAATGCGCGATATAAATTTCTTGGCATGTGTTATCGGATGACAAACGAATCTTATATTAGAAAATAATTTCGTATGACGTAGCGTAACGTTGTAAAAATCATATGATACAGTAAAAAATGAAACGTATAAGAATTGGCGATATTTTTTTTTATTAGTTGCGCAGCAAAAATACCATCAGACAAAATTATTTAAAAATTGTGTTAATCAATAAAAATAAAAAATAGCAAAACGCGTTCAATTATTATATATCAAAATCTTTTTAAACTAAAATATATAAAAGCTGTATTTTAAAATGAATATTTCGTCGGATACAAATTAAACATTCCCGTTTTTATTTCATAACTTGGGTATGGGACTTACACTGTTCAAATCGTAGTAGGATTTCTTATGATATATATTGCTGGTTTGGCTATACCTAGTAAACATCGTCAGTTTTGCTGCATTATGGTAGTTGGTTACTAAGTTCTAATCGCATAATGATATTGATTAAGAGAATATGAAGAAAATAGGGAAGTCGAGAATAATATATAATATATTTTTAATCTGTCATAATTTTAATTTTCAAAATTAAGAAATTAGATTTTATCAAAATTGCTTAACGCCGATTCTACGTTTTATCTTATTATGCATCCTTTTTTATTTTATCGTTTCTGGCTTTCTATTATAGTAAATATATTTTCCGATTATATACTTTTAGTAACTGCTCGTATTTATACATATTTATTTCTCATAGATCGTTCAGTTAGAATCATATTTGTCCTATATATATCTCTTACGACTGCTTGTCTGGAAACTAGAAATTAAAGTTTTGTTGTATCTCCCTGTTTTCGCAGCCCCTGACAGTAACAATGGTCCTTGTGAGTATAAAATGAAAATTCTAGTTCTATCGGTCTGTGCTGTGTTGCTACGCTATGTTGCACACCGGCTCTGTGTTCATGCACGACATAATATAATAGGCAAATTGCTGCAGTTGGGTTGAACGGATTGAGAGAATGCGCGAGCGACAAAATTGAACTTGGAAAAATTTGAGATTCAATGACTAAATCGAAAGTGGCTTACGCTTCGACTTGATAACATTGAATGCAATATGAAACTTCCACATTTAAATTTCTTGCTTGTGCTCTTAATTCATATTTTGTATATATCTATATGATAGTGGAAATCTCTCATATAAAATCTTAAAGAAAGAAACATCAAATAACTTTTTGGTTCACATTTAAAAAGACTAGATTCTTATTGTCATGCACTATTTAAAATCGAAATTTTACAATCTTTACCGAAAATTGTTAATTATTTATTCAGAATATATATACACTTATTGATTCCTGCAATGCTTGATTGTATTTCCAATTAACATTTTGATCGATGCAAATTATTCAATTATCTTATGCAATTACCATAACAACGTGCTGAAACGTACAACTGTCTATTTCCTTTTAATATATATGTAAAATATATATGTAGTCATTGTATTACAAGAGAATTCTCATTTACTTCAAATTAGATGCAATTAACAACTACAGACACGATCTATTGTCTCTAAAATTTGCATAAGATGTATTTCATCGTATTTTCCAAATTTGATATGTTCATTTTTCCACATCTCTTAATCCTCCCCCCTCCCTCAAATAATCTTATTCGATAATCTCTTTCTCTCTCTACTACTTCGCAACACTAAATTAAATTTATTAATCACGATGCATGATACTGTGCCGTAGTGAAAGTAACACTAAACGCTTGATTGCTAGCTACGATTGCTAGCTTATGATATAAGCTTGTTGCATGTGTTCACTTGGAAATTAATATTCTCTTTTTACGAAGAGAAAAAGTTTTAAAAAATTATAATATCTGTTCTTTCTCGATGATATCCCCCTCTCTCTCTCTCTCTCTTCTCTTCTGTAATCCGCTTTGGTCGTATATACCATTCCACAAAATTAATTTTGTTCTTGCTTCCCGTTTTTCTACGATCGTAATCTGGGCGGGTCTCGTTAAATTGTAATCGCGATGGAACCACACGAAACCGGCTTAGAGCACAATAGCTGCTTACACACACTATCGTTCCACGATCCGAGGCCGCTCTAGACACATCATAAATATTTCGCCTGGATGTGAACATGCGCGACCCACCCATTTTCTCATTTTCTTCACGAGATTTCAATAGCTTCAACCTGCTCGCATGACGTGCTTGCACCTTACGTAAGGTAGAGCGCCGTTATCTCTATCCTCTATATATATATATCTTTTTTTCTAGATTATTCAATTTTAAAAAGACTTGATAACAAAACTGCAGTAACAATCACAATGTTAATTTTTATCTCTCGAAAGGTGCAGGCGCATATTACATATTAGTATTGGCCAATTATTCACGGGATCTTGATCTTTTTTATATAAACGTGATTACCACGTGACTACATTCGTCATTGTCTTCCAGTGTCTACAGATCCGTTGGATTTACAGAAATATCATGTTACGTAAATTTCTTATGACGATCCCTTGAATTCATCATCTTAAATGATCGCAAATAGCAACAATATAAAAATCAAATATTGATAAATTATTGTAGATTAATTTTTCACACGCATTCACTTTTTATCATTCTTAAGAAAACGCTTGCTGTAGAAAATATTCCACAGATATGTAGACACTCCGCTGCATAGTGCTTTATGGGTCTACAATTTTCTCTTCGTATAAATCAGGTGTAATCTATGTGGTGGATGAGCTGGATTATGAACAAAAGAAGCAGTATGAACTGACTGTACGCGCCACCGACAGTGTATCAGGCGTATACGCCGAGGTGCTTGTCAGCATTCTCATTTTGGACGTAAATGACTGCCCGCCCGAATTTACGCAAGATTCTTACAACATCTCGGTATCGGAAGCAGCGCCGTTTGGCACCTCCGTTCTGCGAGTTAGTTCAAGAGACAATGACACAAGTAAGCGTTAAATTAAATTTAAACTTTATATTCAATCATCAGATTATCTCTTCTAAATTTATACAGAAAAATTTAGAGAAATCACCGATCGTACCTATCTTTTCACAGACATAAATCAACAAGTCAGTTACGCCATTCAAAATGACACGGAGAACAGCACGGATCTTTTTCACATTGATCCCGATGAAGGTGTGATATTTCTCAAGCGATCCTTGGACCATGAGACTCGCGAGTCTCATCATTTCACGGTGATTGCCATGGATCGCGGCGTTCCAAGTTTGTCGAGCACGGCGCATGTCTGGGTGAGCGTGATCGACATGAACGACAATCCGCCAAAGTTCGAGCAGCCTTCGTACACCTGTTCTCTATCGGAGCACGCTGAGCGCGGTCAATTCGTGACAGTGGTGTCGGCTAGCGATCCGGATTACGTCGACGAGAAACTGACATATACCATCGTGGGCGGTAACGAACAGCAAACGTACAACATCGGCCAGTCGACCGGTGTCATCTCGCTGATAAATATGCAGAACTTTGGCGAACAGAAACTCACCATGCTCAATGTATCCGTCACCGATGGTGTCTATACCAGCTTCACCCGTGTCAAGATCGAGATCCTACCGGCAAACAGGCACAATCCAAAGTTTCCGAATCCAGTGGTTGAGGTGACAGTTCTGGAGAACCAGTTGCCCGGTAGACTGGTCACTAGCGTACTGGCCGAGGACGAGGACTTTGGCGAGTACGGCGCGATCACGTACACGATAATGTCGGAGTTAATGAAGGAGGTATTCGACATAAACAAAGGCACCGGCGAAATTGTGACCCGCAAGAAACTCGATCGAGAAGAACAAAAACGCTACGAAATACCGGTCATGGCGATGGACGGCGGCGGTAGATCCGGATTCGTGATGGTGCGTGTCAAAGTCGGCGACGAGAATGACAATCCGCCAGTATTTCTTCTCAGAGAATACAAAGCGACCATTCAAGGCAATTTGTCCATAAATACATCGTTCCTGAAAGTCAAAGCGCAAGATGCGGACGAGGACGAAGCGGCTAAGATTATTTATTCCATCTACGATTTGCAAACGTCACCAGCTAGATCTTTGTTTGGTATAAACTCTGACACAGGATCACTCTATTTGCAGAAAAGCGCTGTGCCGTGGGGTAAGTATTAGAAAGATCGCATTTTATTTTTACGCTGTAGGCAATTCATGGGTGAAATGGACACATCCATCTTGGAAACTTTACCAATCATGAATGAATATTCATTATTTTCAGAAAATCAGTTGTTCGAGCTCTTTATTCGTGCGGAAGACAAAGGTACAACTACGCATCACGCCGATGTACCGCTTAGCATTTATATAATGGGTCCTCATGATATTCCTCCCCTGTTTGAACGAAAAGAAGATAAATTCTTCGTAAGGGAAGATTCTTCTGTGGGCACGCCTATCACGAAACTCAAAACCGTCACTAACAGCACAGTGACATATCGCATAGTGTCAGGTGATGAGGACAACCCGCTCTTTACGATTGATTCTCACGGCCAAATTACCTTAGCGAAACCGTTGGACCGGGAATTGAAAGACAATCATTTAATCGGTGTTCTCGCCGAGACCGATTCCAGTCCTCCGCTCACAGCTCTCGCCGAGATCTCTCTTCAGGTGTTGGACGAGAATGATCACGCACCGAAATTCGAAAGTAATCCGTACGCGATTAGCTTGGCCGAAAACATCGAGGAGGGAACATCTATATTAAAAGTTATTGCGCACGACAAGGATCTCGGTAGTAACGGCGAGGTGCGTTACTCTTTTGGATCGGACATAGGAGAATTAGCAAATGTTTTTACAGTAGATCCCTATACCGGTTGGATATCGACATTAGTGCAACTCGATAAAGAGAAGCAACCGGAATATAAGTTTCAGGTAAATGCAATGCTAAATATTCTGAATATATTGACTATCTCTAAATATATATACATATATATTTCAGGCAATGACGTAATAATTTTCTTTTCAGGTGGTCGCCACTGACAATGGAAATCCGAAACACTTTGCGAGAACATCAGTGCACGTCAAGCTAAAGGATTATAACGATAACGCGCCCGCATTTGTTGACGATCGTTATAAGGCCACGGTAAACGAGGATGCTCTACCAGGAACGGTTGTAGTGAAGCTGATCACCATCGATAAAGATTCGAACGTCAATACGCCAATAGAATTTTACATAACGTCCGGTGATCCTAGATCACAATTTCAAATTAGATCTACCGGTGAAGTGTATGTGGCGAAATCCTTAGACAGAGAAACCATTGATCGTTACGAGCTTGAGATTATCGGTACTGACGGAAAATACGTCTTTGAGACGAAAGTAACGGTACAAGTTTTAGACGTCAATGACAATCCGCCGTATTGTCTGCGGTATCGTTATAGAGAGATACTTTCCGAAGGTTCGCATCCCGGCGCCTATGTTCTGACCGTGTTGGCCACTGATTACGACGACGAACCGAACGCTAAACTACGATTCTATTTAACCGGCGACAATAATGACAAATTCTCGTTGGATAGAGAAACGGGCGTGTTAAAAACCGTTGGACAGCTCGATCGGGAAACCCAAGCCAAATATTCCCTGATGGCTCACGTGCAGGATCGAGACAAGCCAATCTGGGAGTGCTCGTCGCAATTGGAAATTCTCGTCTCCGATCTTAATGACAATGCGCCGAAATTCACTATGCAGACATACAGCAGCACCTTGCCCGAGGACGTGGAAGTCGGCACGCTAGTGACAAAGGTGCACGCTACGGACGATGATATTGGTATCAATCGGAAAATCAGATACGAATTTATCGATTCGGCGGACGGCCACTTTCTCATCGCGGCGGATAGCGGGATAGTCACGCTGGCCAAGCCATTAGACAGAGAAACTAAGGCCATGTACAACGTGACCATTCAAGCGCTCGATCAGGGCACCCCGCAGCTGATGGGCGTCGCCTCGCTTATCGTTAACGTGCAGGACATCAATGACAATCCGCCTGAATTCGCCTCCAAGATCTATTTTGCAAGAGTGCCTGAGATCTACGCGGTCGGTACCGAGGTGGCTCGAGTACTCGCTACATCCAAGGATACGGGAATTAATGCCGATATATATTACTCGATTGTCGGTGGTAACGAACACAAGAAATTCCAGATAAACGCTAAAACGGGCGTCATAACTATCGCCGAACAATTGGACTACGAACGGGCTCGCGATTACTTTCTCACTATCCAAGCTATCGACGGAGGTATTCCACCGCTGAGTAACCACGCCACTGTCAACATCACTGTCACTGACAGTAACGACAACGCGCCGATCTTCAGCGAAGTTTCATACAGAGCTTTCGTGAAGGAAGACGCGAAAATCGGGGAAAAAGTTACGCAAGTGAGTTTCATCTATCTTCTGTCACAATAATTTCGTATGTTACGCGATTATTCGCGCAAAATGCAACATATAAAAAATAAAATATAGATATTAAAATAGAGAAGTAACTTTACACACAGTTGAAATGATATATCTAACATATTAAGATGTTATATTTTATTGTTTTTATGTTTTTCAGGTATACGCGAATGATTTGGACAGCGAAGAGAACGGCAACATATCGTATTATATAGAACGGGGCGATAGACAGAAGCAATTCTCTATCGACAGAAAAACCGGACAAATAATTGTTATTGCGCCATTGGATCGAGAAGAAGTTAGTATCAAATATACTATATATTACATAAGCTTTTTTTTTAATGAAAATATTTCGTTATACATTATACTTTCTCTCTTAGATCGCGAACTACGTATTGGAAGTTCATGCGCGTGACAACGGCATACCGATGCTCTCGAGCTTTGTGATGGTGAATATCGAGATTCTGGACGCGAATGACAATCCGCCGTTGTTCTCTCTGCCGAATTACACCGCTATAGTGCAGGAAGATAAACCGCTTGGCCACACAGTTCTGCAATTCGTGGTCACCGACGCGGACATTGAACCGAACTCCGAGCCGTATACCTTTGATTTTCGCTCCGGGAACGAGGGTGACGCTTTCCGACTGGAACAGGATGGCACTCTGCGAACGGCGACAAAGTTCAATAATAGAGTAAAGGATAAATACGTACTGCACGTTCGAGTGTTTGATAATGGCAGCCCGCCTTTGTACTCGGACGCATGGGTCGTAATCAAGGTGATCGAGGAGTCGCAGTATCCGCCGGTAATCACACCCCTCGAGGTAATTGTCAATTCTTACATGGACGAATACCCCGGCGGTATTATCGGAAAAATCCACGCGACCGATCAAGACCAATACGATACGCTACTCTTCAGTTTGGTGCCTTCTTCGCCGATCTCGAATACCAATCTCTTCCAAATAGACAAGATTGACGGTATATTGGTGGCCTTACCTAGACTCGATGTCGGCGAATATAGGATAAACGTCAGTGTGACAGATGGTAAATTTCATTCGCACTCCGTCGCGAAAGTCAACGTCGACCTGGTAACCGATAAAATGCTCGAGAATTCGGTGATAGTGAGATTCCGTGAGGTTAGCCCGGAAGATTTCATGTTAAGCCATCGCAAGAGTTTTGTTAGGACCGTTCGCAACGCGATGAATTGCCGACTCAAGGACATCGTCATTATCAGCGTACAACCATCGATTGACGAGGCGAATTTAATCAAATCACGGGCGATTCGCCAGGCAGTACACAACGATCTCGATCTTCTGTTTGCCGTGAAGAAGGCAGCGAGTCCCATAGGTTCGTTGGGCTTCTACGCTTCGGAAAGCATACGCGAGGCATTGAATCAACGCGTGGAGGAGCTAGAGGAGTCGACGAAATTGGTCGTCGAAGAGATTGTTCGTTCAAAATGTAACAAAGGCTATTGCTTCTATGGTGACTGCCAGGACAAGATCACTCTTGATCCTACGCAAATCACGCCCGTGTCTACTGACGTAATGAGTTTTGTATCGCCGCGACACAAACACAAAATGGAATGCAATTGCAAGGAAGGTTACGCTGGCAATCATTGTGAAGTAGTGGTCAACGAGTGCGCCAGGGATCCTTGTCCTCTGTTCAAGGTCTGCGTGCCGGACTCGTCCGTGCAAGGATATTCCTGCCAATGTCCTGAAGGATTTGCCGGTCAGATCTGCGACATCGACATTTCCAAGTGTCATGACGAATCGTGCTACATCCCGCGGAATCCCATATCCTTCAGCGGCAAGAGTTACGCGCATTACAGAATCGACAAAGCGCTGATACGGCAAACAATTGAGGATCGTTTAAGTCTATCCTTGAGAATTCGAACGGTGCAGCCCACCGGCAACCTAATGTACGCGGCCGGCAAAGTAGACTACAATATCCTAGAGATTGTTAACGGCGTCGTGCAATACAAATTCGATTTGGGTAGCGGCGAGGGACTGGTCAGGGTGAGCAGCGTGTACGTTAGCGACGGGCAGTGGCATGAGATCCAATTGGAACGAGAGAGCAACAGCGCCCAACTCACCGTCGATGGTAAACATATCGCTCACGGCTCCGCGCCCGGTATCAACGACATTTTGAATCTGCAATCGGACGATCTATATCTCGGCGCCGAAGTACGACAGCATCCGTCTATCATCGGTTTTGAGGACGTGCAACGCGGTTTCGTCGGCTGCATGGACGATGTCAGGATTGCCCGAGTGTCCGTGCCGCTGCACATGAGTGGCGCAAGTAGCGTCGCGATCTTCAAGGGTTTCAAGGGACAGGTCAAATTCAGCTGCGACACGGCAACTATTCTAATGCCGCCGGGCGTTTGCGGATCACAACCCTGTCAGAACGGCGGTACCTGCAAGGATATGGGCGGTGACAGCTACGAGTGCCAATGTCACAATCGGTTTGCTGGTTTCGCCTGCGAAATCGACACGGATCCATGTGCCTCGTCGCCCTGCCTCTACGGCGGCCGTTGTAAAATCGTGTCGGAGGATGGCGATTACATCTGCGAGTGCGTTGGACCAAATCTCAGCGGCAAACGCTGCGAATATGGCAGATATTGCAATCCAAATCCATGCATCCACAGTGGCGTGTGCGAGGAGGGTAACAACGGTCCTATCTGCAAATGTCAAGGTTTCACCGGTGAGCGTTGCGAGACCGACATCAACGAGTGCGACGCGAACCCGTGCACAAACGGTGGTACATGCATCAATGAGATCGGCACGTATCGGTGCATATGTCCGCCGAATATGACTGGTTTGAATTGCGGCAATCCGGCTTTCTCCACGCCCATCATATCCAACCACTTTAACATCACGTGGGAGCATCTCATGTGGATCGGCGTTGCAATATTAGTCAACATATTTCTTATCACCATATTTGTCGCTTTTCGGCGGATCAGAATGAAGCGGACTAGAGCGCGTGCCAACAACATCAACAATGAGACACGGAAACAGATCGTCCTGAATTCCGCGAGACCGCACGAGCACGAGTTCAAGCGCAGTTCGAAACTAAGCAATCTAGAAGTCATACAGGTACTATTGTGTTTAGATAATTAGATATTATCTTAGTTATCGTGCATAGCATAAAAGCATGAACTTTCAAGGGCTAATATAAATTCATTTCGGAAGGCATTATTTCAGTATCGATGTAAAGAAACTTAAGCGAGACTTTACCGCAATATTCTTTTGTTTAATAATTTTATCTACGATTAAGATATAATGCCTTCATATTCATCTTTGCGCTGTTTAGCAATCGATCTCAATGCTATTTTATTTTTGGTTTGCGATCATCGATTTGCCGACACGATAAATCCCTTCCGTCGCGGCGACGATCCTGTTTAAGGTCTTTGTGTGATTCTTCTTTTTACAGAGAGAACCTCCCCAATGCCCTCCCAGACCCGCCTCCTACACCCCCAGCTCGAACAACGAACCGGTCGCGTACGGTAACTCGGCGGCGGTAGCTCTAAATAACTTGGACACCCTGCGCAGCTACGGTAGCGCGGGCGACGAGCTAGAGAACTTTCCGCCGGATTACTTGCGAAACTTAAATCGCAGTACCCCCGTACCACCTCCGTCCTTAACCCTCGCTAATCCGGTCGGTGGGAACGCAGCTGGCAGCGACACGGATAGTCTCCACAAGCCCACTTGGCAAGAGCAGATGCAGCTAGCCTCCTTCATAACTGACACCACCAAAATCAAGAACGGTAAGCGTCAATAAAAGAAAGAAAAAAAAGAACAGTTTCTCCCAGCTCCATTCGATTAGCTTGTTACTTTTGATTTCGCTTGTGGCATGCGACCGTAAGGGATGGGAGCATTAGATAAGCGCCTTCCCCGTTCTCATCATTGCTCACGAATCTCTCTCTCCAATTTTTCTTACTCTTGGCTCTCTCTCTCTCTCTCTGTCTCTGTCTCTCTCATCTTTCCTGTCGCGATTTCTCTGTATTGCGTGCTCTGACTTGATCGGGTGTGTAGCGAATTATTCTATTAACACCGGCGTATTTCGTATTGTGTGCACTAACAGACCTGAAACGAGCGAGCCCAGTGGTACCAGAGCTGACCACTGGAGGACTTCTACTAAACTCGTCTCGACGGGCGCCTCATGCGGTTGGATCTTCCGTCGTCTCCGTCACGTCCATCGAGGATGATCCCCGCATCGTCGGCGGTAAGTTGAGACTTGCCCGCTCGTATTGATCAAGATACAGAATGTCCTTCGAATAACGCACTTTCTCTTAATAAAGACTAAAGGGACCTGATTTTATTTAGATTTTATACTAAATTTTGTGCGTGTAAGATGCAAATCAAAATGATCGAAAAATGGTAAAAATTCAAAAAAAAAAATTATCGATTTTGATTATCGTTTCTACAATTAACAAATTTCAGAAACTTCGTTAAACGTGCACAATTTCTCGGACATTCGGTATATATATCTATGGCTCTTTGCTTCTTCGCTTGTACTGTCTGTTTCTAATTGAATGCTACTATTTGTCCTGCCTTCCTCTTCACTGCACAACACTATGCTGCATCGCATGTAGCGTGTCGGAGTACAGTCGTTGTCTACAATGCTTTTAGGGTATCACTGGGACTGCTCAGATTGGGTCAGACGAAGTCAGAATCCTTTGCCTAACATCACGGAGGTACCCGGCAGCGAGGTACCGGACTCGTCCAGTTTTCACAGCAATGAGAGTAACGAATCTAATACTCATCAATTACCAACAAGTAAGTATAGAAGTGCATGCGCATTGATTCTATTTCTCTTGTATCAGCATGATTTGTATATTGTGTTCACCAATTTTATAAATACTAATGTCACACAAGCATTTAATTTTATGTTTAATAGCAAACTTACATATTAGATTATTGTAATAAATCTAACAGCTTTGTCATCCATTGATGAGCCTATAAAGAAAGATTTCAAAATGTACACACTTAATACTACGTTAACATATTGAATCATATCATAATGTTGATATGATAAAAATAAGAAAATAACATATTAATACAATAATTAATACTAACTATTAATCCTTTTCATCAATTTTTATGCATGGCAAAAAAATGTAATATTATATAATAATTGTACATTTTTCATGCCGATTTTTAATATTCCGCTAACAATGTGTTAATTATGGCCATTACTTTATTACAATACGGTCTTATATAATATTCGCAATTCTATTATAGTACACGGTCCGGTAGATCCAACGAGGGACATCGAGACCCTGAACGAGGATCAGGAATCGGAATACGTTGGCGATTCCGAATGCGGGACCGAGTTCTCGGAGCAGTATCACTGCGCGGAGACACAACGTCTCAATCCTCTCGACAGCGGCGGCGAAGGGGAGTACAAGTACAAGAGCTCCGAGAGCTATCTACGTCATCCGAATTCGTATCTACCGCATTACAATATCCATACCGACACCGAGAACGAGACGAATCCGCTCAACGGCCGTCTCAGCACTCTCGAGTCCGACGAAGAGGAAGACGATGTAGTGCCTTATGGTTTTCCAAGCACCCGCAACCGTAACCGATGCCACAAGGTGGTCGAGGACGACGAGATCGGCTCTGTCATCACCACGCTGGAGGAGAGAAACTCGCTATTGGGCGGCGCCACGAGCAATAGTGATCTCTCGACGAATCTGTGCGAGATCGACGATTCCGAGTATGAGATCGCGGATCAGAAGAACAACGGGCGCTTGTGGCTGTCGGGGAACGGCATCACGCAAACTTCGGTGTGACAAACGAAGTCAGACGAGATTAGACTTAAGCGTGCGGGAGCGTGTTTCTCTGTGCTTCTACGATCGAGACACGCGGATGTCTGTGAATATGCAATTTTGTACATAAGTGTTATATCGCCGATAAGATAAGACAGTCTGTACAGGCAGCTCTATGAAATAAGGAACCGGTGTGCGAGCGAAATCGACGCGGCGCATTTCGACACGTACAATATATCGTCGCAAAAATATATCACGCCTGAAAAATCTCCTCCTATACAGGTAGAGTTCAAGCATCAGCGTACTTAATCCTGCAAACTAATCGCGGATAGTCGTTATACGTTTTACAATCGCTAGCAGTGCGTGCATTACGTCATACCGAAAGGGATGAAAATCTGATTTTTATTTTATTCATTTTACTTTGGTTTTATCATATTACCAGAGATACACGTCATATATGTACATTTGTTATAGTAATATATTTTTAACTATTTTGTGGAAGAATGTAGAATGATCAAGAGACGTTATTTTTTATGACTTGATGATAGAAAAATAGATATCTGAACATATAATGTTCGTATTTTTTTCCGTTTCTATATTCTCAAGTCATAATATTTTCTAGTTGCAAGAGGTGTTATATACATTCATCGTTTGCTTAATCAAGAAATATGCATACTGCATATTGAGTGATGCTACACATCGCACGTTATTCTTAATATTATTTCATTTTCATGTAACACGATAATATTCCTTTAGACTCTACCAAGGAGACGAGATTTACTGAAGAAAAAGAGAGTTTAGGACAATTCTACAAGCACATACATGTATGTGTAAGAAATGATCTTGATTAAGGAGTGGGAAATTTTCATTACTCGAAAAAAAAAAACGTAAAGTTAATCGCGACCATGTCGTCAGACCAATGACTATTGTTTAATGATCTATCATTTAAATTTAACATGTTAATCCAACAACTATATAATTCCAAGTGCAAAAGATACATAGGCACATTTATGTATTTTTACTATTTGCTAACTGACTTTATTTTGGTTACGTATAAATGAACCGACGGACTACTTAATAATATATATATTAAAAGTAGCGAATTAGCGTGTAAGTAAATGGACTCTAGTGAAAAAAAAAAACAGCCTGCCCCGCAGAGCGATGTGCGTGGCTGCTGCGCGCGTCTTTGCAGTAAGAGAGGCGCGGGTTAATAGTTAAAAGATATAATGAAATATTTTTACTGTGATGATAATAATGTTTATACGATGATCAAATACTATATGACTTGTATCATAATAATTACAATGTTAATTATCCAACGTTTTATAACTGAAATCATAGACATATAAAATTTTAATAGACGGAGCCTTTCTAAAGGAAAAGCTAAGATTTGCAGTAAGGGAGGTGATAGTAAATTACACTGACTTGATATATTTCAGGTAATTCCGTTGCAACGCGGCTCGAAACACATATAAGTAACGCTCAATGTGTAGAACACGCTATCCACACAAGCGCAAGATATGTGAATTAAAGTCAGTAATGTGTTACGATTTGCTCCCCTAATGTCAAAACTAAAGATCCCATCTTGTCCATATCGGCAGCTAATGCTATGTCTATATATTTTATATGTTTATGAATGAAACTTGAAGAAAAGGAGAAAAAAAGATGAGAGAGCGATGGAAGGGGCGATATTCTCGTCCGCGTATACGTAAGCTAAGTCAACGTTCCGTTTATTTAACTCTTTTTCTTTTCTATCTCTTCATTCGTTAGTCACCATCAATACGACCGATACAAATCTGCATACATGGTGCTACTATTTACATCACGCTTTATCCACTCTTTAATAAGACTGTTCAGCAGCGCGAGGTGTTCACTTATCTACTAATTGCGCTCTTTACCAATCTGCCATTCGCATTTCATGTATCGTTCTTCGTCATAGAGACTTGTCTATGTAATGTATAATGGGATACTTTCTAAACTGCCAATTAATTCGTAATGCCATATAAACAATGTATTTCCTTCGATTAATTTGTATAAAAGAGATAGAAGAATCAAGGAGCAATCTATTATATATAAGGTTTTTTACTCATTGTCACTTCCATTTAGAGTATCTTTCATTAATGAATATTATATAGTGGCAGCTTTTAATTTGGGTGAGGTATATATATTTTCTTTTATATATGCGTGTAGAATTTTGTTGAGAAATTCGATTTTATGTTCCTATTCTGTAAAGGACGCCAGCTATCCTGCTTATAGGATACATTAGCGAATCATGTTAATAATAATAATGCTAAACAGGGTGATTTTTATGTTGACCAAGAGCAAAAGCATCGCGTCTCTCGTCCTTGTATAAGTTAAAATCGGCTGTGCTTCTACTTTCTGAAATTTTAGCATATCACAATGTTAACATCCATACAATGTAAATTTTTGATAATTTTTATTTTATATTAGAATAATATAAAAGAGAAAAAAAAAGAGTATATATAAGAATGATGTAGAAAGCACAGATTTGATTTCAATAAGCAGTATAAAATTTCAGACAGTAATATGAAGCACAGATAAAGCTTATAACACACATTTAGATTAATTTTATTTAAAAAGAAATGAAGTATATATACATTTTGGTCAAAGACTGTAAAATAGAAAATGTGGATGTGACAGCGGACTTTTTATAAATAGTGTACGCATTTAGTGATCTTATAAACATTGCAGAAATCCATTTTTCAGAATCTTCCAATCAGTGAATTAAGGAGAGTAAAAGCGATAAAATCTGAATTGAAGATATATATGTATAAATAATTTATATATGTACTTTTCGCTATATTATTGCTTCGGGCCTACTTCTATTTGCGAGTTTGTAGAAAAATTACAAAGAAAGTGAAAAGTGAATAATTTTATGAATTTACATATTTTATAAAATTATTTATTGCTTGCTACTTTCTTTTGAACAGTTGGGAAGAAAAAAAAATTTTTTTAAAACGTAGATTGTGAGAAAAAAGAAAAAAAATGGAAATCATGGGTACAATTTCTAAATTCGCCATAACACTCCTAGCCCTGCTAATAGAATACATATCGATATCATGGAATCATTCAAGAAAAGAGGAACTTGACTTGTTATTATTGTAAGGCTATAATTAATTTGTACAAGATCAACCTATTGTAATAAAGAAACCAATCTTGCCTATAATAAGTTATACCTCTCTATTTTACAACTAACGATCTTATTATTGAATAATAAAATGTATAATTTATTGGTACTTTATTACGATATCTTAAGGCATTCAACGTTCTTCTCTGATATGGAAGAAAGAAATGTTCTATACATTTATGAGAGATATATAAAGGGAAAATATTCTTTTACTTCCAAGTCATAGAACAATGTTGGCTGTCCATGTTTTCGAGGTATCGATATGATCCTTCCCTCTAATACAAAATTCAGTTATTAATATTTTTGCAACGCTAACGTAAGTAATTCATTCATTGGTGTCAATAAAATGCGCGGATCCTCAATTAAACCAGCTCCAACCATAGCACCGGTAAATAACTACAGCGTTAAAAAATTTATAAAGTGATAATTTCATATATTTAGAATGTGGAATTTTAAAAACATACTGTAAAATATAATAAATGCAACGTACCTGTCGTATCAGACGATCAGCTAATTCAGTATCTGTAGTGGTCAGCTTACATAATTTTTTGATAAGAGGATGATTTGGATTTATCTCAAAACGCGGTTGAAGAATGGAGTACCGCATTTCTTCGTCCAGTTGATGGCTCTGTGTACGAATAAAATGCCTTGCGGTTGCCATATCTTGTACAGTTACAACGCAAGGATGTGATTCCAAACGGTTTGTCATCTTAATGTCGTAAGCCTTTTTGTCAAGAATCTTCTTCATGTAGTTAACAAGATTATCCAGTTCATCCTTATTTATAATACCTGTTGAAAAAAGATATACAAAACGTTTTCTTTTTTTCTCATAGTTAGATTAATTCAAAGTAATTTACAAATACAATTTTTACCTAAATTTTCTGGCTTATTTGCCTCTGTATCATCTCGCATTTCTTTCTCCACAGAAGTCAAAAAATTAGATTTATATTGTTTTAGATGCATCAATACTAATTCATCATACGGTTCGTAACAAAATAGTACTTCAATGTTCCGTCTTTTTAAGGATTCGTAATACGGTGACTGTTCAGCTAAAAGTCGACTGTAACATAAATATAAATTTTGTAGATTATATTAAAATGAGTTATTCATGCTATAGCTCTATACATACCTTGGTGCTGATAGGTAATATATATCCTTTTGATCTTTCGCTAAACGACTGCAATATTGCGGCAGACTGACTAATTCTCCTGGAGCAGCAGCAGAAGATTCAAATCGCAAAAGTTTACCTATGTCTTCCTAGAATAAACACGAAAACTATAAGTCAATATATTTTATGAAATATTTGCAGAATACAATCAATTATTACCTTTTCAGATTGATCAATACTGGTAACTATACCCTCTTTTAAAAACAAACCGTAAGTCTTATAAAATTCATTATAGTCTTCTGACTGCTTTGTAGATCGCTCATGTAAAAACTTTAATATACGTGCGGTCAATACATTTCGCAGTTTCCTATGAAAATTACACATAGTTTCATATCGTATGTAGCAATCTCATGTGATATACAAGCATTTATTCTTACCCAATTAGTGCACTATTTTGCAGTAGTTCTCGACTTAAATTCAATGGTATATCTTCCGAATCAACTACGCCTTTAATGAACCGTAACCATTTCGGTAAGATGTTTTCCGCTTTGCTTTTAATTAGAATCTTTCGGCTGTAAAGTGACACCCCACTGGTAGTGTCTCTCGCTAGATCGAACAGTCCGGGTTTTTCCTCTGGAAAGTACAACAGAGCCTTAATACTCAACGGCACGTCCGTTGAATAATGCAATATAAATCTTGGTGCATCGAGACAATTTCCTATAAATCGATAAAATTCTGCGTGTTGTAACGGCGTGACATTTTTCGGGTCAAACATCCACAACGGCTGCAAAGAAAAATTTTCATTTTATAATATCAGTTGAAAAGTACAGCAGACGATAAATTAAGGGTGATACCTGAATTGTATTGACCATCTTTCCATTCACAAAGATAGGACTGCCAACGAAATTACTGTACTTGTTGATAACACCTAAGAAAATTGTTTTTTATCTTTATTATATATAAAAACAATCAATATATATGTATTTCTATCATTAATATACTTACGGTTTATAACATTTTCATCACTGAATTCTCGGTTATCCGGTTTTAAGTATATAACAATTTTCGTGCCTGGTTGTACTCCATCCGCATTTGAAATCTCAAATGTACCTGATCTATATATTGTATTTATGGTATCATTGAGATAATATTGTTAAATCTATATAGAATATTCTATTCTTTATATTTTTACCCGTCTGAAGTCCAGCAAAGACCTTCTGCATCTCTTGCAAAAGATTTTGTAAATACTTCCACTTTGTCAGCAACCATGAAGGCACTATAAAATCCGACACCAAACTGTCCAATAATTTTAGAAGTATCATTGGAGTTTTGTTCTCCTTTCCATTTTTCCAGAAACGCCTATAAAATAAATATATCATAATTTTTATTTTGAGTAAAAGATAATATTTTGTAAATTATAAAATTGAAAAAAAATATATGTATAAGTGCTCTCTTAATACTTGATACTTGCCTTAGAACCAGATCGAGCTATAGTTCCCAAATTGGATATTAATTCCTCTCTAGTCATCCCCACACCAGTATCTTGGATTGTGAGAGTACGATTTTGTTTATCAGTGCCAATATGTATCTCTAAGCTTCTGTCACCAGCTACTTGCGCAGCTTCATTGTCGCTTAGACGTAAATAACGCAATTTCTCTAATGCGTCACTAGCATTTGAAATAAGCTCTCGCACAAATACCTAATAAATAAATTGTTATAATCATTGTCAGATATAATTCCTACAAAAATTAATATTTAAATACCTCTTTATCTGAATATAAAGATTTTGCAACAATTTGTAGCAACATTTGTGTCTCCGATTGAAATTCATGCTTGGCACTTTCACCTGTGACATAATAAATATCACATCTATTACGTTTAGCCATAAACTATTTAAAATAAATATAATTAATTGATTGAATATATTTACTCACCTACAGATTTCTCTGTATCTTTTATAATATTATGGTACTCTGTAGTCTGAGTCTCTGGTTGAGATGACCAATATCTTGTATGATGGCAAATAACTATAAAATTAAAAATAATTTATATATACTTTAACATTAACTAAAATATTTAAAAAGTATATTTCAAGATAATAACTATTATGTGTGATTAAGACAAAATACAATGCACAGAAATCAGTAACCTTACAAAATTACAACCTTAAAATATAAATGTAATAATTTAATGTTCGAACATAAAAAAATAAAAGATTAACAAACCTGGCAATCGCCGGCATTGTGCTTGGACTAACTTTTCCCCCGGCAAATTTTTATTCAATGATCTCGAAAGAGATCTTCCTAATTTAATAGCATGCTTGAATCTTAAAACACCAGCCATCTTTAATGCCGTATCACATTTGAATTTCTTATATATCTTGATCTGGAAAAATCACATTGCATCTGATTGTGTCCGATACCCAATATATGTATATATACGTAATAAAATGCCAGTGTGTATTATTGCATAATAATAAAACTGACTGTGTGTGTGTGTGTGATACGAAATATAGTGTACCAGCGAAAACGATTGCGTCTGATCATGTATACATATATTGTAAATATATGTATGCGAGTCGAATATGAATCGCATCCGCTAAAAAACTCTCTCTGTAGGGCCTCCTTTGGCCTTCCGCCGATACTTACAAATTTACAAATTTAAATTCTGAGATATCGGGAACATATGATAGGCACAAGAAAGATAATACAAATAAAAACTTCAAAAATTGAAATTTTAAAAACTCCAATTTTATTTTCTTTTCTCATTTACAGTAAAATGATGGTTTATATATTAATAGTAAAAAAAATAATTAAATAATTAAATAGCAAAAAAATAAAAATATATAGTGAAGAAATTTATTTCTTGGAAATTAAAAAAGTATTAGAATATGTCTTGAAAGAAATTACAACCTTAAAATATAAATGTAATAATTTAATGTTCGAACATAAAAAAATAAAAGATTAACAAACCTGGCAATCGCCGGCATTGTGCTTGGACTAACTTTTCCCCCGGCAAATTTTTATTCAATGATCTCGAAAGAGATCTTCCTAATTTAATAGCATGCTTGAATCTTAAAACACCAGCCATCTTTAATGCCGTATCACATTTGAATTTCTTATATATCTTGATCTGGAAAAATCACATTGCATCTGATTGTGTCCGATACCCAATATATGTATATATACGTAATAAAATGCCAGTGTGTATTATTGCATAATAATAAAACTGACTGTGTGTGTGTGTGTGATACGAAATATAGTGTACCAGCGAAAACGATTGCGTCTGATCATGTATACATATATTGTAAATATATGTATGCGAGTCGAATATGAATCGCATCCGCTAAAAAACTCTCTCTGTAGGGCCTCCTTTGGCCTTCCGCCGATACTTACAAATTTACAAATTTAAATTCTGAGATATCGGGAACATATGATAGGCACAAGAAAGATAATACAAATAAAAACTTCAAAAATTGAAATTTTAAAAACTCCAATTTTATTTTCTTTTCTCATTTACAGTATAGTGAAAATTATTATCTAAAAATTAATTGTTCTTATAACTCATCTCTCAATCTGCACAAATGATCGCTGTACAACTTAGAAACATCTAAAAAGAAAAAAATCCATATATATATATATATGAGAAATAATGATGGTTTATATATTAATAGTAAAAAAAATAATTAAATAATTAAAAAACAAAAAAATAAAAATATATAGTGAAGAAATTTATTTCTTGGAAATTAAAAAAGTATTAGAATATGTCTTGAAAGAGGATTAGCAAAGAGGACACAAACTAAAATTTCAAAAATCGCAATTCCTGCAATCTTCCTGCGTGATATAATGGATAATGGTTAATTTTAGCCATTTATATTTCTGAAAAGGAAAACAATAACATCAAATATTGCATATAAATTTGTTTATTATTATCTGTATAATATATTTGAAACAATATCATTCTACAACATTGCATAAAAATATACAAAGACATGAAAAAATGTCTTGACTCTCATTTAATAAAACATGTTTATGAATAATTGCCTATTACTGCATCGCTGTTATATGTAACTGGAACCAAAATGATTCGATATGTCGATTGTGTAAATTTGCAATTTGATCTATGTTTAATCGTAAAAATGTTGGACTGGAAGTTACAAAACAATTCATAAATATATTATAAACATTTTAAATTTAGCTCTAAACACAAATACAGCGATAAATTTGATTTAATATTTATATCTGATATGGGTTACAAATAAATATCAAAACAAATATTATTTTGTAATATTGCTTGTAAATTTCCTTTTAAAAACAAGTTTCTAATTTTTTCGAAATTAATTAATTAATTAGATATTATATAGTATAATCGCGAAAGTAAATTAAATCTTACATACGTTTCTTATGCAATAAAAGAAGATTGTCCTGGAGAAATTTCTTTCTTGGAATGCGTTGCATAAGAAACGTAGATTTAATAATTAGAAAAAGAGAAACAATGAGACACACCTAGAATGTGTGTATCGACTTTGTCATAAACATGTTTAGAGAGTACGTAGGCCAGAAATAAAACTCGTTTTAAAACGTAAAAACTCGTTTCATCATCAACGAAGGATCCATTTCATGCGCGTGTTGTCGAATGAATTTCACAAATCGGCGCATTCTCGTACGAACGCAATTACTATTTTCTTTTGAGATCATTGGCCGAAGAATAACAATGCTAATCATAATATTAATAATGACAATAGTAATAACTAATAATATATAATGGTAATAATATATAATTATTGTATTATAATATAATAATATAATATAATAATATATAATCATATTACTTAATATAATAGTAATAAAAATAACTATCCATAAAAGTATCCTTTATTAGGAGAGATATACCTATAACTTATGTACATATTTTCCGTGCGTGTTAATCCTCACTTTCTGCTTTTTCTTTTTTTTTTAAATTACGTATCGTTACGATAATTTACTATTACTCGCCACGGTAGCAACATAAATAATAATGCAACACTATTATTTACAGATTCGCTTTCTCTCTCTCTCTCTCTCTCTCTCTTTCATCCTTTTCTTTCATTCGTTCTCTTTTACTTTCGTTCTCTTTCTTTTATTGCTGCCTCGCTCGATCGCGTGCGTTGTATGCGTATCTGGCGAATCGCCCGATGATCAACGATGCACCCTTCGATCGCAAACGCATATGTTGCGCCTTTTTATTAATCCCCCTTTGACAAAATTATAAAAAGATTCATTTATCTGCTTGCCATATCGACAAGAATCAAATAGTAATCTAATAAAATAGGGAGGATTAAATCGATCGATGCTACCTATTCTTTTCGAGGAAGATGCGTTTTATATTCATTATTAACAATGAATATATAAGTTAAGCATTAACAATAAATATAAAACAATCATCACATAAAACACACACACGCGCGCACACACGCACACACAACGCATCGCCCTCGCATCGCGAAAGCGATTCGGCGAAAGGAGTAACTTTCGATTGTGCCTTCCGCGCGAAATCAACGCAAATTTTTCGCAGCTTCCTGAGATATACATATACGAAGATAATTTTAGAATTTGGAGCACATGTCGGCTCTCTTCTACGAAATGACGAGTCGAAAGACGTCTCAATTCTCAGGCCGGTGCATCGTTTCGCATGGTGTTACGCGATCCGTCTCGACGCTTCGAGAGCGATTCGCTGAACCAGGAAGATTTCGCGGAGAGAAACGTCTCTGTCATATTCGCCTCGAACGCGTCCGAAGGGAGTCGTCTGCGCGATCGTCGATCATCGCAATGACGTCGTCAGGAAAACCGCCCGCTCGATCCATTCGCGTCGTTCTCTCTCATATTACATACGTGTCTATCTACTCTCTTTTCTTTCTTATTTTGCGTCTACAATATTTACAACGACAAAGAAAACGAAATCGATGCATCGTATGTTATCATCGTGCTCTCTTCGTCGATATAATCACCCCCTCCCCCCTATAAACTTACTTAATTTTTTTTCTTCTTTTTGTTTTAATGTATATATATATATATATCAAAACCTTTTCGCGTAGAAATACTGATCCCACTAAATATCCCCCGTGTGGTAGTTAATTGATATCTAAATTTTTCGAGACCGACTGTCTTAGAGCGTACAATCTTTTCTCGTTCAAGTTTCTTTCTTCAACATTTCTTTTTTTTTTTTTTTTTTGCGAGAAAAGAAGACCGCGAGGGAAGGAAAGGTTGTGGAAAAACGTGTGAAAACATTGCTCCCGATGTTCAGAAAAAAGACGAATATTACAACGTCCAAAGTTATTATAAATTGTTTGTTCTCAGAATGCAACTACAGCATAATTTTAATATATTATACCACGTTCATATAAATACTCGTTATCGAGAATGAAGATTTCACGACATTACGAGCATCCCTCGTATATATTGCCTCGCGCACCGTTATATCGCGAAAGGTCAACGCGCTAATTGATATCACGTTTCACAATATATTTTCACGAGCGACTCGGCCATCATCATTGTTGGAGAATTGTTACGAGGAAACGTGCGATGTCGGCCAGTGGATCGTTGTTCTGCTTGCGCATTGGATCGATGAAAGCGCACCTCGTGCGAAACGACGAGCCGCGAATACGACCGGCTCAGAAATACGGCTATACCAGGCAATCCTAAATGACGATGCTAATGATTTCCGGAAATATCCGCTGGGAATGATTTTTCGACGCATTTTGCCGAAATCATTAAAATATTATAAACGGGAATCCGGAACGATATTTTCGAAGCGCGTAATGCGATTAAACGCAGAATGAGGTGAGGCATAGATGTGACGACCTCGTGAACGTGAAAATTAATGAAATTCGTTTCAGGACGACGATAACAACAACGAAACACGTTTCAAGATACGTTTTCGCGCGTCTCGGAGCCGTGGGGATGAGAATAACAGCGGGGTGCGAGCGCTGTAAATCGAACGAGGTCGTCACGCGGACCAACCTTTATCACGATCGTAATTTCATGAAGAGCCGCGGAACGGCGAATTGACATTTTCAGGATACGCGATTCTCGCATACCCTTCGCTATTTCCCTTTCCTCCTTCTTCCTCCCCCTGGCGTCGCCGCCGCCGCCGCCCTTGTAATCCTTATCCCTCATCGCGGCGGCGGTTCCTATCCCCTTGCTCCCATTCTCAGTCGGCTCGTTTCCTCTCCCTCACGGTGATATTGATCCTCCTGCCGCGAGGCCCACCCACGAGCAGCAACGTTAGGCTGCTACTCGACCTAGTATAGGATCGTAACACAGATCGAGACGCGAGAGGCAGCCGGTCTTCGTTCAAAGATTTTCAAGTTATGAGAAAAAAAAAGAAATAATAATATGCAATAATATATTATATATATTTATGTAAACGCACGCGCGGATTAAATTAATTTTGTTTCAACCGATTATGAATTTTCGTTGGACAACACAATACATAGTATGATTAATAAGACGATTTGTCTTTAAAAATGTATATGTCCAAATAAAGAGATATTTTCGTAGGAACTCAAAGCGCGCTTTTATGATTAATAACAATTCAACATGAAATTTATTCGATATATGAAATGTTCATATTTTTTATATGTTCCTTTTGTAGATATTTATAAATAATATGAATATATGCGCTCCCTAATCATGATTACTCTCGAAATTAATACGGCGCATTAATATCAAAATTTCTCAACAATTTCTCAGCGATTCCTGTCTATGCATCCTGTTCGTGCATATGAATTCCCGTACAGACTTTGAGCGTATCCTTATACCGTATGTTAATTTTCTAACAACTCGATAACAAATGAATCAATTTTTTAGGCACTGCTATTAATTTATGCTCGAAAAGAGAGAGACAACGATCCACTGTGACAATCGACATCAAGTATTTTTGCTCTCTTGGTTGGTCCCTGATGCTCTTTTTCCTATAACAATGCGCAATTTTGCCTTTCTGCTTTTCCTCCCTTCCTCGTTTGTGCGAAAAGTACAATATGATAAACAAACATTAATATGTTGGTGGTGATTTTCGTCGATCTTCCCATTTAAAGATAATTAGAATTAGAGTATTATTTTTGCCTTTCCAATCCTTCGTTCTCTATTATTTCCTTAAATTATATTGATGTGGCCCCAATATTTTACAAAACAATAGAATATCCTGCCCAAATGAGAATTTAAAATAATTATTATTATAATATCTTGATCCACTTGATGCGAGACTTGTCATTAATTTTTAGCGACGAGTCGCGACAATAAAATCCAATCGAAAGTCTTCGTGTACACTTTCGGCGGACAATCAACGATGTGTTTTTTGCATATGATACATGTATATACATATGTATCCATACATAAAAAACTTATTGATACATACAAAACGTACATCCTTGATTGTTTGCTGAAAGTGTACATAAAGACTTCCGATTATATTTCGCTAAAAGTTAAACCCCGCACCAAATAATATAATAATAATAGTAATAATAATAATAATAATAATAATAATAATCGCGGCAAAGGAAATTAATGCGACGTATTAATTTCTCGATGGTAATCATGATTGGAGCGCATATATATTTGTATTATTTATAAATATTTATAAAAGAAACATCATATAAAAAGTACGGACATTTCGTATATAGAATAAATTCCATGTCAAATCGTTTTTAATAATAAAAGCATTGGGTTCCTACAAAAATATGTTTTCACTTGGATATAAACTTCTCTAAAAAAAAAAATTGTCTTATTAATCGTATGTATACTATATATTGTGTTATCCAACGAAAATTCATAATCGACCGAAACAAAATTAATTCAATGCTATAGTCTTGGAAAATATTGAGGTCGTAGCAAAATAATACAAAAAAATAAAAGGTAACGAAAGGATGAGGAGGAATAGAGATGTACTAACTCTCAATATCTTAAAAATAGTAAGATTGACCAAAATCGTCAACATTATATTGATCTTTGTTTATCATTTTGTACGTTTCGCACAAGCAAAGAAGGAGAGAAAGGCAGGAAGTCTTCGTGCACGCTTTCGGCGAACAATCGAGGATGTGTTTTTTGCGGATATATATGTATGTATATATATGTATGCATGTGTGTGTGTGTGTGTACATATACATACATACATACATTTAAGCATGGGATTCAATATATCTCTGCTTCTCTTATAATACAATATTAGTAGTTTTATCTTGGGCTTTTTGCCTTTAAAAATGGTACTTTTGATTAGACGAACCACAGATCGCTATCCTTTTTTTTTTTATTTATGGAATGTATCGCTATTTAGAAGATTAGTCATAGATTCCTTTTCTTTCTTATAGCATTGAACTACATTATAACATTATTAACAATTCTGCATACAATTTGCAGCACGAATTTCAATTGATTTGTTTGCGATATTATTCATGATCATTTAAAAATTTGAAATAAAGCATAAGATTTTGATGAATAAAAAAGAATAAACAAATTTCCTGTTAGCGTATTGCTAACATTAATGCAATATTTTTAAAAAGAAAATCTTTATTGTACATAGATATTGAAAACTAAAGAAATTCGAAACTTTAAGATCGCATAGTTTAATCAAATATATAAAAATAAGAAACTTGTAGTATATATATATTATATATACTTATATGATATATAAAATAATAGTGATTATATGATGTAAATTAATACACCATGAACGAGAAATTTAAAGAAGCATAGTAAAAGAAAACAAAAATGAATGTATCAGCATATATATAGAGCACATTTGCCAATCGATAAATATATTTATTAAATTTTAATCCCGAACGTGTGCAATATCGCATTATATCTAAGTTGCAAATAATCATGGTGAGATAGAAAGTAAATATACTCGTTTCAACATACAATTAGTTCCGAGCAAAGTTCCAAGAAATGATTGCATTTGAGAAAATACGAATAGTTATCGCATCGAAAACGGGTACCAAATCAATTGAAATTCGTGCTTCAAATCATTTGTATGCGGAATTATTAATAATGTCAATGTAGTTCAATGTTACAAGAGAGAAAAGAAATCTGCAACTAATCTTCCTTCGTTCCATTTGCATCACCATATTACCATCCATATTACCATCGTCGTTATTGATAATCTCTATCACCTCATCATAATAATGATCTATTATAAGTTTTTATTTTTATATACTCGGCTAAGCTGTACGATTTTATATAACATTTCGAATTTCTTTAGTTTTTATTATCTATGTACAATAAAGATTTCTTTTTTTGAAGATATTGCATTAATGTTAGCAATGCGATTTAGCAGGAAATTTTCTCATTTTTTATTGTATCGACAAGCTGGCGCAAGGTAACCAATTTTTGCGGTCGAATACGTTCAACCAAGTAAACTCTAATCGTATCAATATCTCTATCTAATTGCGCGGATTTCGACGTGAAAGATCAAGGGAGAGGAGAATCGTCTTGTGGAATGCCCGTCGAAGTCACCGTAAGTGTCGTCGACGCGAGCACTCGAGAAAATTTATCGATCGTTCTCGGTATAGCCATAGGCGAACTTGAAAAGGTAGGAATCGCGGGTTCTCGCGTTTTTCTCCAAGCGCGCAATTGTTGCTAAATAAGAAAACGAGAGATATAGAACGATTTCCACGTATCTCTTGATATCCCACGCTACCATATCTCCGTTGAATTAACTTCCTCGCCTCCCTCGGCGGTTATTATTACAAAATTAAATTTTACTAAAATGTGATTGCCTAGAAGAATAAGTCGGTGACCGCGAAAACGGCGACCAAGAATGCACTACGACCGGTTGTGGAACGCTGTCGCACCGATAGGTAACTGTCACTCAGTCGTCAAATACAAACGAACTTGCAATAAACGATATTCACGTGCGTCACCAACTTGTGCCCGTTCCTTTGTCGCGAGGTCGGAAGTCAGCAAATTTTTCTATTACATAATTATTATTTATACATCATATTTCATAAAACTCGTACGTTTGATTGAATTAGACACGTTTCAGACTGTTCCTTTTTAATTCAGAATTAAATTTTTATATGCCAAAGAAAAATGTAATGAATAAAATTCTTTGACTTTTAATATGCATACAAAAAATCAACTTTTGTAACATAGTGAGGACAAGTACGGTGGGAGGCAGATCAATACGCGGACAGACAAAGTAAAATTTGTCGGTATTGTCACGCCAAGTATATATTTTATCCTTGATGTATGACCGCGTCCCATTGTAATAAATCGACATACCGGCTGACATACCGACCACACAGCAGACGTAATGATCTCATTATAGAATATCGAGATTGAAACCGGCCGTAGAATCAAGAGAATTAAGCAATTCTTGAGCGCTGAAATTCGACGTGTCTCCCGTAGGAAGATTTTCCAGGAATTCGAGGCTAAAGTCAGCGGCCGCCACGGACGGATCCGTAGTAGCGGTAGGCGGTGGCGGTTGAGGGTGTTGCTGCGGTGGTGGCAGGCTCCGCACTCCCGGGCTACCCGCGCCGTATTGCTGATGTGGATGCAACGGAGAACCTAGGTATATTCAAAATTCATTTATTATTATTTATCTCAAAACTGTTGAATAAAAAACCACACTTCTTGAAAGAGAAATTATATTCTAATATTACTCATTTCTCGCATAAACATATTTTTTCTAATGCGTTAAACTTTAATATTCGAATTTAAACGTAATTTTTTTATTATTTCGTGGACTACTTACCAGTTCCAGTAACGTTTACCGAATTAACGGAACTTGTCTGCGACATCTGCATCTGCAATGACATTTGGTTGTTGTTCTGCTGCATGGCTAGCGTTTGTTGTTGGTGCTGTTGCGATAACAATTGTTGCATCTGCGTGCTGTTAGCCATTCCCGAGCCGGCTATATTACCGTTTTGCGAACGGATTAACTGCTGCTGATGCTGCATCTGCGCCGCGGTCATTTGCATTGAGCCGCCTGCGCCACCCATGCCAAAGCCACCTATGAAAAATCATACGATTCCATAAAATCCTGTATGTCAATTTTGTGTAAATAACTTTTACGAACAATAATAAATTCACTCATTCAAAACGAGTTCAATTTTTCGTGAAATTTTCCGAATATAATTTGCATTTATACGTTCGCGTATGTAATCCGTCTATTTAAAAAAATAAATAAAATATAAAGTAAAAATAAATAAAATATATTTTTCCGATAAAAAAGCAAGAATATTATTTTAAAAATTAAATGACCAAATAAAAGCAGAAATTTGACTGGTAACTAATATCGCGATCGTTCTTTCCTTTTGACGAATGCAACAATATCAGCGATTAAAAGGGCCATTTTCTCACCTTGGTGACCTTGCTGATTGAATTGCGATCGCATCTGCGCTTGAAAGCCCTGCTGCTGTTGCTGCATTAGAACGTGTCGTCCCCATTCTTGCTGAGGGGCACGACCCGCGATGCTGTTCCCAAGGCCGTCCGGAGGGCCGACGCTAACGTTGGGCGGCCGTTGATTGTTAGTTCTCGGATAGCCTAGCCGTTGGTGCATCTGATGCATACCGCCGATAGCGGCCATCCCGCCACCACTCATGTACATATTACCGCCGGCCGCGTGTAACGCCTGCTGTTGCTGCTGTTGTGCCATTTGCGGCCTCATCATCGGACCTGTGAAAAACATATTGCGTCATAATGTAAGAAGCTGTCATGGTTGTTAAAATTCTCGTCTTTTTTTCTCTGTAGCCAAATTTTGAATTTACTCGTACATTTGTATGTGACCAATATTGTGACCACAAAACATAATTATTGATAATAATTTAGACTTCTGTATGTCCCTAAATAATTTAATAAGACTGCATCAACTAAATTAGAGAGAAAAGCATACAATAAAGATTTGCAGATTTTTGCTCGAATAGAATCTCGGGAAAACCGGCGTCGACCCGATCGATAGGAGTCTTGTAGAGGCCAGGGTATATAAGGATAGTTTCGACTCCCTCTCTCTCCCTCTCCATCTCCCTTCCCCTTTCCCTCTTCTTCTCTTCACCATCTAGTCTGGAGCGAATCCAGCAGGACGTCAGCATCGCGTTCACGCTCGGTCGAATTCTTTCCGCGCTAATATTCAATGCGCAATCCGTGCCAAAATATCGAATAAAAGTGGATAGATTAAAATGCATAAAATATTTATTTATTACGAGTAACAAATATTATTATCGCAAAATTTATTTCTTTTCGATCATTTAATTGAACGCGGTCGGCAGCTCTTATATACTTATGATATGGATATTTAACTATAAATGAAGGAACAATGAATACCTTGAATGAATTGATGAGACTGAATTTTTTTTTTTCAAATTTACCTGACGGTGGCATAGGTTGTTGCGTAACTCTACGCATGGGTCCGGCATTCGCGAACCTCGCTTGCTGACCCATTCCGATACTAGCATGCATCATCTGTGCTTGTGCCGCAGCCTTGTATTCGGGCGGTGGCGGCCTTACAACAGCTCCCATTCCGCCTGCCATGTGCTGTTGTTGCTGCTGTTGTATCACCTATAAAAGTAAAAATACACATCATATATATATATACGTTCTTTCGCGGGATTCTCTTAAGTAAGAGAGCAGAAGGGCGTTTCTCGTCTAATCGCAGGTTGTTGTTCGATCAAGAGTGGAAAGAGACGTCGACTGGTGCGACGAGCAAGAGGGGATGAAGGCAAGACGAAAGAAAGAGCGAAAGAGTAAATGTATCCGATGACGAGAGGAAAGCAACGGCGGAGTTCGTCTCGGCTACATCGCGGTCGCCTTCCTGCGGCGATCGCTGTTCTTTCATTGTGTCATACGTCTTTCTCTTTCTCTCTCGCCATTAGACTTTCCTCGCGTAACACCAGGAAGCGAAAAATGCAACATCGACTTGTGCAACAACATCAAATACTATTCCTCTTCTCGTTAATCTCGATAATTCGCACCGAATGCAACGATGCACCCCGAACACATTCTCTGACTATACGTTCACGATAGATCATCAGTTACGAACAATATCGTTCGGAGAGAAGAGAATGTGCTTCAACAATAAAACAAGCAGATTTGAATAAAAATGAAGAGATCTAAAAAAATCTTGAAATTAAAAAAAAAAGGTCCTGTCTCTTATAGCAGCGATTTCGAGATGAATTTGTTATTTTCGTGAGAAAGAGATATTTATAAAGTATTTAATTATAATATATATATATATATATATATTATATATTTCTCTAAAGTTGAATGAGTTTCTATCGTTGTATATCACGAGCTCGAACAATTCTTAGAACTCATAGACATCCGTTGTACGATGATGCTCTCGTTATTCCGTGCACGTTAACTGTTCTAATAGAACGGAATGGATACCGGACCGATTATTCTGTCAATTCCAATATCATTGTGAGCCTGTCAAGTAAGCGGTAATTGAGATCGCGCGTGCGTCTACTTATACAGATACTTCTGCAAAAATCCGAAAAAGAGATTGCAAAATTCGATAAAGATATTCTCCAAATGCTTATCAAATTATATTTATTTTGTCATTATATATATATATATATATATATATATATATATATATATATATATATATATATATATATATATATATATATATATATATATATATATATATATATATATATATATATATATATATATATATATATATATATATATATATATATATATATATATATATATATATATATATATATATATATATATAATGACAAAATAAATATAATTTGATAAGCATTTCGTAAATATATTGATAAAGATGTAAGAAAACTGTATGTGGTTCTCTCTCTTAAGACAAATATTATGCTTCCTTAATTCATCATCTTTCTCGAGACATTTTTCGTTAATTATTAATCAATTACGTACGATACAGGTACGAGAACGTGTGTCGGTCAAAATGACTGTGTCGCACGTATTAACATTAATCGAGTTCACGTGAATATTTCCGAATAAGATCATTGAGCTGGTTTGGACCGTTCTAAATAATATAACGCTCTCTCGCTCGAAGCTATCCCTGGAAGAGCGAATGACTAACCAACTGCGCGAAATGTACAATTAGTAACTGGAGCACGATGTCGTCTTCGCTACCTCAACATTATCAAGATAATCCCGTCGCGCGCTGCGACTGAGTCATCTGCCCAATAGGCGACTCGTTGAGATCTAGGCGAGTGTGATCGCGTGTGACTCGCCAAGAGTAGCTTTCGTGTATGCGGTGCCACGCAATTTTGCGTTGACATCCCGACTATGCACGTTTAATCGCGCGACGACGATTCCGTGAGATCGAAGGGAACGAAACAAGTCGCGATGAATACAGAAAAAAAGAAAAATACAATAAGAGTTTAATTTAAATTAATTTAAAAATTTGATTAATTTCTGTAAACTTGATCCTGGATATGTATCATGATTACGAGAAGAGCACAATTAAAGAAAGATTTTTACCGTGGAAAATTAAAAAGCCAAAAGTCGCTTTATCAAATTAATTAAAAAAAAAAAAAAAATCGTGTCAAATCTCGCTTGAAAATTCCAGAATGAAAGGGAAAAGAATTGGAGATATAGTCTGTTCAAAGATCGACATGGATTTACAAACTGTTTATTCAATATATCCTCTATTTAACGCGAGCAGTTGTATAAGAGAGATGTATATGTGTATTACGCGATTTAACAAATTGATTAAAAGGCGGAAAGCTATCGGGTAGATAAAAGTGTATGTATCGATGATACTTAATCTCGCGTGAAGCGCGAGTAATCGCCGAGGACGCTAATTCACCGATACATCCCCGTGCTTTCTCGATCATCAACGGACTTCTCGCGCGGAAACTTCGGCAAAAACTTTTTGTCCATTGTTCCCCGGCCGTGTTTCTCCGGTCTCTGAGAAAGCATCCCGCGCTATTTGTCCTATTTGTGTCTGCTTCTTTCGACGCGGCGGGACGCAGAAGTTGCAAAAGACCTAGTAGCGGTACCTGTTGCATACGAACGTCGCGGAACCCTCTCTCCTCTTTTTCTCTTTCTCTCTCGCTTGAGTTTAATGTCTTAGATAATGTGCCATCGGAGGTATCGCGAGCATCTTACCTATCTACTTACATAGACGATCGTCACGGTACAAGTTTCGCGTTTATCGATGTAACGACTCTTAATCGCGATTCTCGAATAGCGAACGAGTCTCGAGTTTCGCATAAGTACGAACGATATGAGGGTGCGAAAATCCAGAAGGGAAACAATCGCATAAAAACATATATATAACATACGTGACAATTCAACGAGAACTGAATATTAATATAATTAACATGACAAGAGTTTTATTACATATTTAATCACTATGCATTAATTCGTAAACGAAGATCATTTACGTCAGTGGCGAATATTTGAGAAACTGACGACACGTTTCGAAAACCCACATCGAGATATATATGTTTAAAGTATGTGAAACATCCTCCCACAAACTTATCAAGCTAAGAATAAACAAAATGCGTGTTTACCTGTTGCGCGCGCATCAGTTGCTGCTGCTGCTGAAGAAGTTTCGCGTGCTGATGCTGATCGACCTGGGCCGGTGATACCTGCTGCGGATGGCCTCGCGCTCCCGGACCAGGAGCCCCAGGTTGCGGAACCCCACCAGCGGCCGCAGCCGCGGCCGCTCTCTGCCTCAGACTCTGCTGGGTGAAGTTGATGGTCTGCGACTGCGAGACCGAACAATAAGTGTCGGTCTGGTTGGCCGAAGGGCCGGCCTGATTCTGCGTCTGTTGTTGATTAAAGTACATGCCCTGCTGCGCCGCGACGGACACGACCGGCTTCAGATCGCCCGTGAGCTGCATATGTTGGCCGGCTGACACCTGCGAGTAAAATTGAAGATTTATAGTTCACAGCTCTTTGTAGATTGCGGAGACGAGAGACTGCGCGTGATAAAAATCTCCCGCTCGGAGATAATACGCGTTTCAGACGCAGGGATACTTGCGTCAAGACGCTCGCTATAATTTTGTCGGCACGACAATAATAAAAAAATAATATATAAAGATTTCTGATCACACAAAAGTCATTCATTAATTTTATTTATTATAAGTTATTTATTTTTCTATAAAAAAAATACTTGAGTTATCGATAAAAGTGTAGGAAGAAAAATTTGTAGAGAATTAAAACATTTCTCGTAAGTGTAGATGTAGATTCGATGTACAAATAAAATTAATAAACATCGCATCTTTTAAGATATATCTTAAAATATATCTTAAAATCTTATTGCAACTTATATACAAGTGCCATATGCGACACAGTTGGCGAAATATAACTGGTATTTAAACACGAAAAGTTTTCTCAAGTGCAATCTTCTTACGATGTGGTAACTCGTTAATTGCATACACGTGGAATGCGTGTAAAAAGAAGGAAATGTTATAAGGCTTATAAATTGCATGCTCATTCTGGTCCAGTAATCATTTTGCTATCAATATTTTTCCTTCCTTAATGTGTTTACTCGCCGAGAGAAACGCGTGGTGTATTTTTTTCAAACCTTACCGTTGGAAATGCAAGATTCCTTGAATTTAAAATCGGCTACATTTAAATTCAGGGAATGACAAATAACTCTGGATTATGGATACTTTACTTTGTTTTCGGGAGAATTCACAGCGAAGAAAAGGATCACGCGGTTTTCCGGGAATATAATAAGATAACATTGCCGCGAAAGAGCAGGAAAATTTCGCTTCTGGAAAAAGAGCATCCGATATAAACAACCGATGACTGGATTGTCATCGCTCGAATCGCCGGTAATGATACGGGATGGCTACCGTTCTTCTATTATTTGATATCGCGCGACGAAAGAGGAACGAAGAATAAGCCCAGAACCGTGTCCCGCGAATGACCCTTCGACCCTGCCCGCCGGCTGTCGAACCCTCGTAATCTAGTTGCGACTTTGTATCTCGATAGCACAGACGCGTACAATTCCCGTCTCCCGAGCCCCCGCGAGACTCTAAGCACACCGCCAAATTGCGTGTCGTCGGGGTCGTCGCTCCTATGTTTTTATCGGTGAATTACAGGTTCCGTCGTTGCTCGACTATCGAGTTTGTGACAGAACGAGGGTGCGCCCAATCCGCGCCCCGTCTGAGAAAAAGGGAATTCGCTTCTTTCGAGTGTGAGTGAGGCGATAACGTAAAATCGCGCGCTTGCTATCTGAATTCGCTCTTGCGAAGCACGAATGATGCTGACAGACGCTTATGCAAATGCACAGGTGTGGAGTCGCCTCCTCTGTTGACGGCCGTTCAGTCTACCAAAATGTAGAGATATATGGCGTGTACATAAGTATGTGATTAGCGTATACCTATGTGTATCATGTCTATAGACGCTAGTACAACCACTACGCATATAATTCCGCTATACATTATATATATATATTGTACATATGCTGCATATGTTGCATACTCATTTGTAGAGATTATGTACAATTACACACACATTTGCATGTGTAAGGGGATTACAATTATTATCATGTCTATTCGCATCCGATACGTATCCGTACATGTATCTCGCGCAATAAGCGGTCATGTACACATATATATAATGTATATATACGGTGCCTCTCAGGAGTCATCATCGTTCTCTTTGTCAGAACTTTAATCTACAGTTTAATTATCAAAATATTCAACATGGGAAAATAAAACGGACTTTGAGATATAGTGTAGAATTAAAATTTCTTTTAATTGGTCTCAAGAAACTCGCGGACGCGATTCACAAGGCTGTGAAATTCTTGTAAACAGTCTATATACATGTTTATATATATAATTAAATAGGGAGACGTGCGTTGATATGCAAAGCATGCAAAAGGCACGTCCAAGTACATATACAAATGCAAGATACGCAGAGCGAAACGCAACGAAAACTTGCTCGTTGCGAATCTGAGATAGGTACACATTGGTAAGGTGAAATTTATCCAGGAAAATGGACATATACCACGGAATACATATACACGGATATTCTGCGCGCACACGTGTATACATAAGGATTACATGGTGGTAGCCGAGAGGTCGCGTGTCCCGGTAGGACGCATAGAGATATGCCGGTTGGTAGGAGAAACCTACTTGGTCGCGCATAATTAGCCTAAATCACGACGGCGTCCCCCCGTGAGAGCTCCTGAACGCGACATCTGCATATCACGTGTCTTATTACAGCGATGCTTAAAAGGGCTCACTCTGAAAGTGAGAGGGAAAGAAATATATACATGGCAGATCCCTCTCGCGCCCTATTTACGCGTATCGCGAAATAAGGAAGGACGAGTATGCTAATGGGACGTCGAGTATGCTAATGGGACGCCGACACGGATACTCAAAGCTTGAGAGATCTGTGATCTTTAGATCTTCGAAAAATTCACCGAAACTTCGAGCGCTAATAAAACATGATCCCGTCGTCGTCCATCGCGCGAGCGTTATCTACCGAAATAAATCTGTCGCGATTAAAGTCTGGAAGTTTCAGCCTCGATCGGACAAAGTTCTTGCATGGTAAGGGAAAGCTCCTTCTCCCTCTGTATTTATATTCGAGCGTGTATTTCGATTCGAGACCTTTCGACGTCAAAGCTCGTAGTAATGAAAGCGTAAAAAAAATAAAATCACGAACATGGACGGACGTGGCCCATTTTGAACAAATCGATACTTACACCGAGCTCTCCGAACGCCGATATGCAATCAAGCTCGTTTAATGACATGACCACCGTTAACGAGTAATTCGCACGATCCGATAAATCGAAGAATTCATATATTAAACTATTCCTTAGATTCAAACGACTTATTATACTCAGAGACACGCGTATCTAGTATGCGCGATATATAATAATATTCAAGTTTTATTTTTTTAACAAGTACACAACTTTTTTTTTTATGTCAAGCCTTTAATTAAATCGTTATAATCGGCGCGATTAGCTGTCATCATGCGATTTAATTTGTTTCCAATAAGTGCTAATTTTCTTTACTTTTTCTCTCACAAATGCGTCAGTAATAAGTGAATTTAAACGATATATACATATTTATAACAACTTAAATTGTAATATCAAATTCAATGAATAATTGAATAATTCTACCTTTTAATTGTTACTCCTGTTTACACATTTATACGATTCGATTAATATCCATATATTTTCTTGCGTTTTAAAGTTCCGGTAGAATGTGCGATTATATACAGCTCTTATCTACAGGATCTTGTATCAATTATTACCATGCGACATTGAAAATCGTGACACGACACGCTTATCTCGCGAATCAATTATTTCTATAATCTAATATCTATCTTTTATATAACATAAAAAATCCCTTAACTGTCAAGCAAATTTCTGATTCATATCAGTATTAAAAATATCACGCATATAACATCCTAGATAAAATTTGGAGACGAAAGATAATTCGACGGTTTTGAGATACTTTATGTATGATACTGTCAGTGAAAAATAAAGAGTATAAAAGAATAAAAAATTGAAGAAAATCTCCGCGAAATGATGCGTAGATGGAAGTGCACGTTTAAATTATTATTAGCATACTGTATAGAGCCATCGTACTGGCACAGTCGATACACTCGGCGATACCAGCACGTAACGTGCTATATTATAGACGTAAACACACACACACACGTACACGCATGGCCGAGGAATCGCATTGTGACTAATATCACGATGTTGTAATCGCACAAGCGCTAATCATAGCGCTCGTGTCCGAGATGTTCACTCGCGACACACATTTTGGAATTGCATTCGCAGAGAAACGCGTTTCGTAAACGCGATCTAAATTTATCTCGAACATAACGTAGAGAGTACAATATAATTATTGAAGTTTCTCTTTTAGTGCAGTTGAATTTGGGAGACAGTGTTTTCATCCAACTGGGTTCTCATTAAATATAAATAATACGTAATGGTTTGGTCAGAAGAGAATCAAAAAGAGGGAAAGAAGACACGCGAAAAAATATACGAGCACTGCATGCTTCGAACATTGTGTCTTGGAATCGCTTGGAGAACCACTGATAGGTTTTGCTGGGTGCAACGCACCGAGGTTCGCGAATACCCATTGCTGCAACGACGACGACGCCGCGGGAATGGCATCCTGACGAGTGACCTTGAGATCGGGACATCTCACGACACGGATGGAGAGAAATCTCATTTCTCGCGATGAAAACTGAGATGAGCGAGTCGTATATTACGTATATCTATACGTTACACCTACGTGTCTTATCCTACGGATTACACCGCTCGCCGTTCGTAGAACGGTACGCAATTGCATAGCGAAAGGAGTGCAAGTGTATGCCGGCGATAGAAGAAGAGAGCCGGGAGGAAGGGATGAAGAAGCGGCAAGAAAGACGAGTGAAGAGAAAGAAAGAGAGAGATAGACAGAGCGAGAGAGAAAGAGAACAGTTCTGTGGGCGAGTCGCACGAGTCGGTCCGCGGCCGGTGACCTCTGTCCCCTCTCTTTCCCACCCGACCTCGTGTTCCCCGTACACATGCGATATGTGTTAAACGCCACCCGCGCCACCATCACTACCACCACCACCACCACCACCACTAGCATCACCGTCGGTGACGGCGCCGACGTATCCATCACCTTCCGGTGCGAGCGAGCACGTCCGACGACCCGATCTTCAGCCGCCCATCGCCACCCCCGAGCGTCGGCCTCGTCGCTCACCCTTGGTAGCGGCGCGGATATCGTCACCCTACGCATCAATTGGCGCTATGATGCACAGGCCTGCTTGACCTGTGCGAGAAAAGGGGGTGCGTGCAAACCCGAGGTTGCGCGCTTTGCTTCACGCTCGGCCTATCGAGAACACAGAGAATTAGCCGCCTCATCTCATCTTGCGATGTAACGCGATGTGTCTACAG